AACCCCAATGTACTGTAGTAGTTTCCCTCAGAAAATCAGAACAGCAAGTAGCTCAAGAGCCATGCGAGTGCCCAAGACACATGGCTTAGACTTGTATAACATGGCGTTTTGCATACGTGCTTTTTTGTATGTAGATAGGTGGTAGATAGATAGTTAGATCTATAATTCGATTACCTCAAAGGAGACCAGATAGATGGATGGACTACCCAAAGGAGTTTGTACGTGTTCTTGTGTATATGTTTGTATGGTTCTTCTATGCCATATGGATCCCAAAGAACTCTGCACAAAACTCCCGTGCTCCAAAGCGAACGTGACAACCTGATTCAACTGAACAAGTTGAAAGCATCCTGTTTTGGGCAAAAGTCCCTACGATTGCCAAACCGAAAGTGTGCAAGAAACTTTGCTTGATGGAGGTAGACAGGGGCTCTACCTACACCCTAACCGAGAAACCATTAATACCCACACCCTAAACTAGAACCCCAAAGCCCCGTGCCCCAAAGCACGGCATGCAAACCCCATAAGCCCTGCGCTCCATCACCTGAAGCATCACCCCTCTAATCCCTTTGCCCTCGTACACCGTGCCACAAAAAACTAAGCCTGGAAGCCTAAAGTAAACAAAGACCTGGATGCTCTTGCAGAATCCATACTTACAAGGGTCGGGAATTTGAATATCAAAGAACATCAAGTCGGCAGAATCCCGTCACTCCCTCAGAGTTGACATTCTCCATTGAGCCCTTCGGCAGCTTACTTGCAGCTTGTCAAGATTTGGTATTATCCCGAAACAGGGGGACCTCAAAAAAAAGACCCCCAATATACTATGGCCCTTGTTATTGGGCCCCACAATGGTACTCCCAATTTAGGGAAACCTCCATTTACGTACTCAAGAAAAAAATCACTGCCTTTCCCCTTCTCATCCCTATACTATACGTCCTTAGATTCCTTATCTATAAGAGCACCCTGTCCTGAGAAACTTCCTATAACATTATATAAACCCAATCCAAACCCAATATAAACCCAATATAAACCCAACATAAACCCCATATCCAGATCTATATATGTACATTATCTGAATATAGAAATATATATATATGTGTATATATAGAGATACACACCCCCCAGATCCCCCACCAAAGAGCAAGCCTCCTGCTGCTTCCTTGTATTTCACATTTTCCTTACCTTCCTCCTCAGGGCTTCCGCTGTGCAGGGGTGCCATGGGGTTTTACAGGGGGTTTAGGGTTTAGGGTTTAGGGTAGATTATAAAGGCACATTGTGACCACATGGTGGATGCACTGTATAGGGTTTAGGGTTCAAAGTTTACCCAGTGTGTGATGAATCCAGCACGCAGGAGAAAGGGAGCGAGCCCCAGAAGCTGTGCCTTCTGGTTTAGGCCTTAGGGGTTACTGGAGACATTGATCGAAACCCGCAGTACCCTACACTGGCAAGATTCGACAACTGCTTGGGGTCCCGTGGTTTATGGGAGTCTTATTTATTTGGTACTAGTAGCATCCAGACTAGGAAGGTAACACATCTCCCAGACAAGGCTTGGGCAACTCTCAAATTTTGCAGAATCTACTGACACCGGTTAAAGTAACACACATTTTTCATTAGACCTGTATGACGGTATGAGTTCCTCTTGATGACTCGTGCTTCCATCGCAGCCATGTGGTCCTGCTGCTTGCGCTGAGCGGGTGCTTGTGCTGGTGACAGAATGTATGAGATCACTCGAAGCCCGAATCTCTACTATTCTCTGTGTCCCCTTGATCGGAATGTAGCACTTGGAAAGCTAGCATCTCCATCCGCAACCTATCCCCGGATGATGCCTTGATGTTTTAGACTTTCAGGTCCGACAACCGTCCTCCACACCCGCTGACATGGCTGCGTCTCTTTGGACGATGACCAGGCTGTCCTGGCACAATCGCTTCTGTCACAGGGATCTTCGACTGACCTGTCCCCACTGGCTGAACAGTAAAAGCATGATCAACATGCGGATTCTCTTGGCGGGACGACTCAGCGGATCAGGGAATCAGCCCGGTCCAAATCAGATTTGCATGTTGGCGTTGAAGACAAGTCATTTCCGAGGAAGAGGAGGAGCAGCAGAAGCAGCAGGAAGTGGTGGGGGCGGCGGGTGGTGGCGGCGGCGGTTGCGGAGTTGGCCATAATGGCAGCAGCGGTTTGTGAGCAGATACTGCGGTTGCACCCTCCCATCCTAAGGACACGCCGACTCGTCAGCGGCAGCCACGACAGCCTGCCGGCACAAAAGCAGTTGTCGTCCTGTACTGTGTAGGCCGTATCAAGGACCTGCCCTGACTTTCCCCTGACCCAATTGTTTACTGTTCTTTGGAACTTGAGAATGACTAGACTAGGAGGCTGAGGGCCAGGGTCTGGGGTCAGTTTGCGGTTGCAGGACGCCTGTCATTGTAACAGGAAGGATGGGAAGATAGGCAACCTGATCTTCAACAATGAGGCGGCCATATTGATTACATGTTTTGCTGCCTCTGTTTCGCATGGCTGTGAAGTCGTCCAACCCACAACCCTGTCATATGTTGGATCCTCTTTTACAACTACAGCTATGACAAAGATCAAGACCAGACGCTAAGAGTCTGTCAAGCGCAGGCCTTTAGAGTCTCCAGAGTCGCCAGAATTCGAGGAGGCTGAGGAACATTCTTGCAGATAAGGAGTTCCCGAAGCAATAGGTTGCTGCCTTAACCAGGCTTCATTGAGGCACATTCTTTGCATGCATCAACGGATCAGTGGTGATGACGGAAGCGATGTTTGGGAGAGGTCCTGGCCTCGTAGGAGAACACACTACCAGGATGATTCACTCAGAACTGGCCAGACCACTGCGCTCACCTCTCCCAAAACATCCGGAACTCTTAAACATGCTGCGAGTCAATATCTTGATCCCCACACAAGTGCCCCAGTGGCTGCCTGGTTACATGGAAGCTGAAAGGGATCAGGGTGCAAGAAATTAAGCACGCCCTGTACCTTCAAAGCACACCCTTGACCGAATCCATCATTGCCTCTTGACCCCGAATCTTCAAGCCCAAGCCCCAACTTCCCATGTGGGATCGATGCGCAGGGAGCAATCACATGAAAAGATTAGAGATCCTGTAGCATATTCCCTACAAGCTCCCATCATGCTCTCTCTTACATCTCATCATCCTTCTACCAGAGATGTACGCCAACCCTAGACCCCAAACCCTAAACCTAGCCCGGACCCCCAAACCCAGAGCCCTCCCCCTCGACCTTCTTGAGGTGCTAGGCCAGCCTTCTGCGCCCGATACATCGGGTTTTTCAAAGTGGGGGTCCAAAGTAGGGAGCCCAGGGATATATGGGGGTTTCCCAAAATTAGGGGTACCTTTAAAGGGGGATGTAGGGGTTATATAGGGGTTATATAGGGTTTAGGGGGTTTCCCAAAATTAGGGGTACCTACTATAATGGAGAATCAAATGGAAAATGACATGGAAACTGGGTTTGTTTGGGTGGATTATAAGGATTAGGGTTCCCAAAATAAGGGGTACCTTTTTGGGGGTCCTCATAAAAAGGATTATAGTATTATGGGGTCTATATATTGGGATCCCCCTATGTATGAAAAACTACCATATGAGGGTTACAAAAGGGGTTCCCTTTTCAGGACTTTTGAGAAGGTCCAATCTTAAAGACCTAGATTGGCAACTTGGAGAAAAAGATTCCTAGGGCTGCCTGAGCGGTGGAGCCCCAGGTCCCCATGTTTTGGGAGTACAGTTTGAGGATCCAACTTTTTTTGGAGACCACATTTTGAGCTTAGGTGGAAAGGCAGGAAATGTAGCAGTGCAGGCTCTGGCGGTGTGTGTCTCTTAGGATTCTGCTTTCTTCTGGCATACCAAAAGAAACCTCATTGTTACGCCCCCTGCACGGGCGCAGGGCAACCTGTGCTAACAACGGAAGTTAACCATTCCTGCACTGTTATTACTGTTATTACTAGTAGTACGTACCATTATCACTATTATTACTGCGCCTAAACCTCCCGGCAACATGATGGAAGAACAGCACTCGGTCGTCACACCGTTAGGCGTTGTAAAGGGTTTGGGAGAGCCAGTAGGAAGGTACAACCTCTAGAACCCACATAGCAACCTTCGTACTCACTCCGCTCAGCCCTTCAAGTAAGCCCCAAACAGAGGAGCAAACCTCATTCGGATGAGGCATCTGAGCTGAGGCGTCCAAGGAACTTAATGTGAGGGCCTAAGTGTGTAGAAAAAGCGTTTCGGGGTACAGCACCTTAATCCTGAAACTGGCCTACGCCACGCGTAAGCTCCGCAAGCCCCATAACCCCTGGACCCTACACAATCTCTACTGTAAGGGCCAAAACGATTCCCAACTATCAGCATAATTACACAAGGAATCTAGGACCTCAATATTGGTAATGATTCAGGCCGCCACATGACAGCCTGCGTCCTGAACGCCTCAAAAGGTAGTTTCCATACACGGGAGACCGCAACATACCCCAAAATATGATATTCCTTATTGGAGGGTCCCCCCAAAAAGGACCCCTCCTCTTGGGGAACCCTAATCCCTGTAATCCAGTGTACAATCCCGAGTTTCCGTTTCAGTTTCCGTGCTCTTTTCCATTCTGTGGGTATACGCCCCAAACCCCTACCCCAAATAGCAGCTTCCATTTTGTTCTACATCACCCCTACATATTCTATGCATCTTTATCGGAAAGCCCCAAGCCCCAAAACCCGAAAAACCCGTAAACCCTCAACTCCGAGAAAAAAATAAAACTAACACCTAAACCCGAACAATAAAACCTAAACCTCAAAACCTAAACCCTAAAACTGGAACCCTAAACCCCAAACCCTAAACCCTGAACCCCTATACCCTAAATAATAATTTCCATTTGATCTTCCATTATTTGAATCTAATCCCTATATAACCCCAATATTGCCCCAATGGGTGCCTAATCCTTAAACCCCAAAACCTAAACCCCAACACCTAATCCTTAATACCCTAAATAGTAGTTTCCATTTCCATTATCCCCATATAGTCCCTATATAACCCCTAAGAATCCCTATGTAAACCCTAAGAATCCCTATAGAACCCCTAAAAATCCCTATAAACCCCAAAATCAGCAAAACTCAGGGCGCGGCTCCGCAAGGAGCCGCCGCAAGCACCGCCCGCGAAAAGCTCCGCACCTCGAGGTTTCCCGGATTCCACCAAGGGTTTAGGGAGTTTAGGGTT